GAAAGACCTTGTACAAAAGGAAATACTCAGCTGCAAAGTGAAGAGAAGAAAAAGTAGCCGACCGCTGCTAGTGTCACAAAGCCATCCAGAGGCAACAAGAACGGTGGCGACCAGTGTAGTTATACTTTGCAAAAGATCAGGTAATATCCTACTGAAGTCGAGCCAAGGAAGACACCGAGTCATAGGGAAATGTGTGTCAGCTGGCACACAAGTCAGCTATATGCCAGCACTACTTCCAGTACCATCTGACCACCCTCACCCGGTGCCACACCAGTGAGAGTGGTTTTCCTGAAGCATCTGGGCACTAGCTGCTACTCGTCACTGATTGTCTTGGCCTCAACTGAGCTCCTCTGTGTAGACCACACCAGAAGTTTATCATTGCCATCTCTATTTGAAAGTTCCTGGTGACAAGGTTAAAATTCCCAAAGACCTGACTGATGTTTACTTCAAGAAGAAGCATTTGTGCATACCCGAGCACCAGGAGGGAGAGGTCTCCCCCATGGAGAGATACCAGTAACAGAGCACGGCTGATCAGGATGTTGCACACTTGTAGATTTTGCTAAAGATCAAAGCTGTTGCTCGGCTCCAGGGCTATCTGGGAGCTCAGTTCCCTCTGACAAACTGGTAGTCTACAATTGCTAGCAACCAAATCAAAGAGCTTCCTGTGTTATGGAAGAAAGGAGAAAGGAAGAAAGGGAGGGAGGGAGGAATAAACGAATAAATGAATAAATGAACAAACACACAAACCCGCCATCCCTTGTAATTTCAAGTTCCTAGGACTGTGCAGGTATCTAGCCTGCTAAGCATCATCTACATAGCAACCATCACACAAGCAATCCCCGAGAGAGACAGCTGACCTGGCTATGTTTAAACAACAGCTAGCTGAACTAATAACTTCAGTTTCCTCTAGAGGAAGATAAAGGCTGGTTTGTTGAGATGTCACCTTTAAAGTCACATCCTTATGCCATGTGCTCTATGAAAGTCAATGCTCAGCTTGCTTTCTGGGAGACGTTACAACCCGACCCAGTTCACTGATTCTACTCAAGGCTGGTTGGTGTGTGCCCCCATTCAATTTCCCGATTATATGTGGTTTACACTGTTTGTGGTCAGAGGACATCATGTTTAAGATGGAATGCTTGAATGGATGATGGGTGGGAATGACTCCAAAGACTAGAAGAAGACAAGCAACTTGATTGGAAGAAATTATGTTTTGACTTGCAAGACTAGCATGCAGATTATTCTGGAAACCAGAAAATATCCAGCTTTCTATCCCTGTACCTAACCCCTTTATAGTGTCAGGAAACCAGGAGCTTAAAGTATCACAAAGACTATAATGGGCTACAAAGAAAGCCTGTATCAGTTGTCAGGGAAAACTCTATGTCTCCAGCATATACCTTAGATACACAATGTTTGCAAGAGAACATTCTCAGATAAGTGTTATAACATGTACTGTAATACTAGCAACTTGGGAAGCCACGGGAGAGACTGAAAATTCAAGGTTTGCCTAATTTACACAGAAAACATCTATATAAGAGAATAAAAAGTGGCTTCTTTCTTATGGGTTTAACAAATGTTATAAACATATTTCATGAAACACATCCCAAAATAAGCCATCCTGATGCAGGCACTGCACATTGGCTCAGAGCACAAGACCACTCACAGGCCAAGTCATAGGCCCAGGGCAGGTCTTGCTACTTCCTGCTCCCTTTCCAAAGCTTAGAAGTTGTGATTTCAAGGTGCTGTTAGTGTCATTTACACATGAGTTTGTAGAAGTGTCAGCTTATTCTACAGCCTTCACCACTGTCCAGTTAAAAAGCGGGGACAACCTTGATGATTGTTCTTATATCTACTTACAGTTAAACCTCCACTAGCATCCTCCACCCAGGTTAAAGCAGATGGGAACGTCCTTCTCTTTGTTGTACACGATGTCCTCAATTTATAGCACCACATACTGTATAGTAGAATCCATGTTCTCTAATGAGGGGCATAGCCTGAACCCTTAGCTACATGACAGTGGGCAAACTCGAGTTCACACTAATATGTTCACACAGCACCACAAACAATAACAAAGCACGGGGACCAATATAGTACCTTCCATTTCCTTCCCATCCCACCTAGGGACAACCCAGAACTGCTGTATGGTGAACCATTGCTATGGTTCTCAAGGGCTGGGGGGGGGAAGGAATATACATTGTTTGTTTATTTTCTAGATTATTATTGTCTGGTTGTTTATCAGTCTAGACCTTTAAACTGAAAGTCATAGTCTGTGTTCCCAGAAGGCGATGCTGATGAAGTCAGGAGTGAAAGAGATCAGGAGAGAGCCAACAAACTACAGATCATCATTTTTACAACTCTGCTTTTATTAGTTTTCATATCACTGAAAGTTAAATGCTGGGGTTGGAGGGATGGCTCAAAGAAAAGTATACTCTGCTTTTCCGAGTTTAGTTCCCAGCACCCATATCTGCTAGCTCACGACTGCTCTATCACCAGTTCCAGGGAATCCAGTGTCCTTTAGCCTCCAAGGGCAATTGAACATGCATGTGATTCATGTGCACATACACACACACACACACACACACACACACACACACACACACACATTGTTTTTTTAATATAAGGTTAAACATAATTCTTGAGAATGTTGGGTAAAGAGTCAAAAGATCAGTTTTAAAAGAGTCCCTCTGTATTCTTGGCTGGAAGTTGGTACTGGCCTTCTGTTAATCTATGAGAGCATTGCCAGTAACCGTCACCTGGTAGTTTCCAGAAGGAAGGAACTCACAAAACATCAGGTAAATCCACTTGTGGAGGTCAGGGAATGTGCCACCATAATCACTCATCCTGAGAAGCAGCCTGAGGCTCTGTCATCTGTGTGGTGAGAAAATGAGCCCTGGCTACTCACCAGCCTAGCACAGAAGCAGCTGTGCACCAGGCAACCCTCACACGCACTTCCCTGAAGTAAATGCCCACGCTGCACTTAGAGTTTAAATTTTCATCAATCAAACACATGCAGAGAAAACTGGATGTTCATTCTTCACCCCCTCTCCCCCGACTCTCTCAGGACAGGGAAGCACACTCTTTTTTTTTTACTATTTTCAGCTTTTCAAGTAAACATCTTTCACATGTATGGGGCTTTTCCTACTAAGATCTGGAAAGGACTTCCACTCTATTGTTACTCATTGGTAAAGATTCCATTTCATAAGAATATCAAATTTTCATAGTCTTTATCCCTGGTATTATTTTCATCGTGTCAGAAAATACAATCATGACAAAATATATAAAATGTTATAGTGAGAACCAATAACTCTCCCTGGGGGTGTGGGGAGAGAAAAGAAAGGAAGCTGGAGGCCCTTAGGCTTTCTTCATTTTATTTTTAAACACAGAGCATCATTTTAAGTGCAAAAAAATAATAAATCCTAGAATCTCTTTTTCCAATACTTTCAACAAAGCACCAGTATTTTCTATGCTTAAAGGGGGAAAGACACTAATGAGAAGACATCAACACTGGCAAACACAGGTTATTTTTTAAAATTAACCATTTTCGTAACAGACACACGGTGTGGCAACAGTAACTGCCACATACTGGGGTGAAGCATTGAGAATCTCATAAAAGGGACTCTTAGCCGAAGAGAACCACTCTGAATAAATGGAAGCTGTTTTCATTCGGTTTTCTTGGAATGGAGATCCCAAAAATAAGTGGTTATAGACAAACAGTGAGGATTGCTCATTGCCTTCAATGAATTTCAGGAATGATCAAATGCCCCTGTTTAACTTAGCTAGCGGAAAATTAAAATTGGATTGCTACCTGGCCCTTTGCTGTGCTACGTGGAACACACCAATCCATCTGCCTGAGAAGCTGCTGATGTACAAAAAATACTGCAAGGGTCAAAACACAAATGAATAGAATCCAGCCATCCAAGCCACCTAGAAACTGGTCTGAGAATAAGGAGCCCTGAGAAGGGCATTCTGTGCTCCCTGACACCAGACAGAGACTATGAGAAGAGAAACCAGTGGAGAAAAAGCAGCAGCATAAATACATGGATCCCAATACAGATGAACAGAACGTAAGAAAGCAATGGGCCAACACCAGCCTTTGAGCGCGACTCCTGACATTAAGATCAGCAGAAACTAAGCCTACAAAAGGAAACTGGACACAAGCTTCCTTAGCTCCCAGAACATTTGAGAAAACCTGGATGCAGAAAATATGCAAATCAGCTGACCCTATTTAAAATGCTTTCTAGCATAAACAGCACAAAAATGACCTTTGTTGGATAATTAATTCAGAGGGAATTCTTACTCAGAAAGAAAATTATCTACTGTGTTTCACACTAAGATTAAAAAAAAAAAGATAGGTCAACTTTTTACTAAATACCACAGAAAAAAATTCCTCACTCAATCAAGTATTAGCTCAAAGCTTCTTGGGAAGCAAATGAATTTGGAATTCCACAGATACTTCCACAGATACAACCACAGAACCCTTCATCAACCATGTTTAATAATGATGCATTACCATGTATTATTTAAATAATGAAATGAAGCTAGCTCCTTTGCATAGCCAAAGCTTCCAAGATTAATCAAGCCCTACATATGTCAGGACTGTGGCCCTCCTGTCAGCACCAGCCTAAAGTTAAGGAACAAATATTCTGTGCATTCTTGCAGGAACTTATAACTTGCATCAAAAGCTCTTATATCATACCACCTTGCCATACTGGAACATAAATATATGATATCATAGTGACTTCTCTTGAGTCAGCCTATCGAGTGTTGGCAAAATAATGCCATCTGACTTCACATCGAGATACTTAAATCCCACCAAACCAACTTCAATGGCAGTGCCAACAGAGAAGCCAAAGCCAATCTTGGGACATCATTGCCATCTCCTTTTTAACAATCTGATAGACTCTCATGCTGTGACTAGGAGTAAATCTCCCACATTCTCGTTCTCTGTCTTTCAACCAGCTGTGTGAAAAAGAAGAGGAGCTAGGAAGAGCAGCGATGCCTACCTTCGCTGGTGGCTACATTCTTCTGGGCTTTGGTTGGTGTGTGATCTGTGCTTGAACTCACGTCGGATGAGACGCTTGAGCTGCCTTTGCCTAGAACAAAACAAGAGGAAAAAAAAGTAGCTTCTGAGTTTTGTAATTTCAGAACTGGACCGTGCCTTTTACTCAGTCACACACTAAGCCACTCATGTCCAAGTAAGTGCCTGTAACACAAAACGTGGAGTTTATTAAAGGGTTCTGACTTATGCACTCAATATCTCTGGGGAAATATTTGACACACATTACAGCCGAACCAAAACCCTCTTATAACATAGCCTGACTATAAACTCAGACAAGAGTATAAAACATGGGCAATGTGCTAATACAGTCTTGTCTTGGCATAAACATGAATAAGGGAGAACGTGAGGGGAGCACACCCACTGCATTAGCACCACTATACACTTTGCATCTCAGAGCTCTATAAATAAGGAACTCTCAGAATGAGAAAAAACATATCAGGAGCAAGATCTTGAAAGTTCCACATGGCTGTATCACATTAAGAACACAAATCCATTGTTTAATGTCTTTCTGGGAAATAACAAAAACCAACCAACCAAACAAAAACAAAAAAACAAAAAACAACCAACGCCATATCCAATACAGCGGTCCTCAATCCAGGAAGAAGTTTCTATTCAAGAGGATACATGGGAATGCTTAGCATAACTTTTGGTTGCTTAGCATAACTTTTGGTTGCCATAGGCAGGGCAGAGGTGCTACTGGTATGTGAACGACTGTGGCCAGAGTTGCTGCTAAATGTCTTAGAATGGACAAGACAGTTCCCCACAAGAAAGAACTTTATAGCATAAATACCAGGCATACTTGGGCTGAGATCGCTGAGTCTACCTGATTGCACCTAAGTCAATGGCGGAGATTCTGCACCTCTCACCATTTACACAATCATACACATCGATAAACATTCTCCAAAAGACATACTAAAGACTATAAATACAAATCACACTAGTCCTCAGATGAGAGCTATGATGGGAGATTTCAAAATGTTCCATGTACCCTGACAGAATGAGGTAAGCATTTTGAAGGGATCTAGCAGAGAGGGGACCTCCTGTTGTCATTGAATTCCAAGCAGCAAATGCTAACGTTAGGGTTAGGCTTATCATTCACTCCAATGGTATGAAGTTGGTCAAAATCATGTGCGAGGAAAAGACACCACCAGCTATTAAAGGAGAGTTTGGTTCTGGCTAATACTTTGGCTTCTGCCTTGTACCTCCCTGTGCAAAGGACGCAGTTAATTTATACCCAGAATCCTAACCCAACTGTGAAATAATAGCTACACCTTCCTTGTGTCAGATTCTTTCATGTCACAGTGATGGTGCAGTGATAGAAAACCCACTAACTGTTATTAAAGACACAACTGTTTCATACCACAAAAGTTATGATCAAAAGTTGATAGTAATGGGGAAGCACTGACTTCTAATGGTCTTCCCAGTGTGATATGCAATGAATTGGATATTTACTTTCTACCAACATGTTAAAATCTTAAGCCCCAAGGACATAGCATTAAAGAATGAAGCTCTTAAGAAGCAATTAGATTATGAGAATGCAATCTTCATGAATAAGGACTATGTCCTTAAAAGGTCTCAGCCCTGGTCTGCCACATGAGAGTACAACCAAACAGCAGTATAGGAACCAAGGAGCAGGCCTTTAGCAAGCACCAAAATGTGCAGGCACCCCACTCCTAAATGATTAGCTTTCAAAGTGTAAGGAGTAGGCTTCTATTAGATAGAAACCACCCAGTCTTGGGTATTTTGACATAGTAATCCATATAGACTAAGCCAAGTTTAGCTGAGTAAGCTGATAGTCTAAATTCACAGCGTAGAACAACCCAAAGTCTTACAAGTAGGAGCTTCAAGATTCTGTCTCCCATGTAGGAAGTCATGGAAAAATCCAAGTTCAAGGGTAATATCATCTGAGCTGGGAAGACAAGTGGATTTGTTTCCTCTTGCCATTAACCCTAACTCACTGTTGGTGCTCCAAACCAAGTCTGCTATCTAGACTGCATTTCACCAATGTCTCCCTGCATGTTCAGTGAGATGGTATAGTAACTATTGGTCTGGGTCTAACAAACCTTTTGGACTGGAGTCTTTAGAGGTCGATTGATACAGTGAGTCTCTCTTACCAACTTAGAAGTATGTGAACTTGCCCCCTGTCCTCATGACAGATCTCCTTTGCTTTGTAATCTTGAACATGCACTCTGACTACCTCCCTCTGCACCGGAAGTTCAGCATCTATATTGACTAGGGAGGTGCTTAACCTAAGAGATTTCTGCTGGCTCAAATTGTTAATGATTTTGCGTCCAGGTTCAAATTGTTAATGATTTTGAGTCCATTAGAGTATTCCCCAAAGCCAAATAATAGAAGCACCTCTTTTAGCAGAACAAAAAAAAAATGATATTCTAAACCATGTAATACATAGACTTAAATAAGTTTAATTATGTTATTTCTTGCTGATATGTAAATGGAAAACATAAAATAAACTCCATATGTTATACACCTGACTCAACAAGAAAAGGAAAACAAAGTAACAAGCAAAAATAATAAAACTCATAACATTCAAGTATAATAGCATTAATTTAATATGATAGGTGATGGTATGGTTTTTGGTGGCATTAACTTGCATTTCTTAACTTGAAAATATTAAACACTGACACCTAAAGCCTATGTATGTTTGCTTTTGAGGATGGCTCTGCTCCCCGGGGGGGGGGGGGTGAGAATTAACTCCACCTGCCCATCATTCCTCGATATAAACACAGGGATTTTTGATTTTGGAAGACAGTGTCTTGCCATGTAGGTCTGATTGGTCTGGAACTTTCTATGGAGATCAGAATAGCCGTGAACTCACAGAGCTGCCTCTTCCTGCCAAGTGCTGAGATTAAAAATGTGTGTCACCACACCAGGCTGGGAGTCCCCTCTTACAACAAAGTAGACCCTGGGCAGAGCTCCATTTGGTCTGATTTCTTCATTCACATCTTTGAGTCTTTTGTTTTCTCTACATCATTAGTCCAAAATCACTGCAGAAGAGCCCTCCCTTAGGAGACAATGACATCTTACAGTGGGACTCACGCTGTGACACCAAGATGCTATGTTTTAAGAGTTTCACCGCATACAACAATCATCCTTGTCAATGGACCAGTTGTATGAATACTTGCTCATGATGAGTAATGATTACAGCAGGACACCCAGAGAATCCATCACCTTAAATGATCATTCCTACGTGTTGGTAGCATTCTGAAAACCCAGAGATAACACATGCCTGAGGAAATTCTCAGTCACAACTGGAAATGTGCACCATCCTAGTGCTGGTGAATGAGGAGAAGGAATAAAGGGGAGAGAACACTATTATGAATGAGTCTGTGAGACCTGGCCGAGAGCACCTGGGTAGGGTGGTACACCCTCATACTTTAGATGCTTCGTCTTATTAAATATTCACTCCATATGCTCAATATGCTCTCAATTGTAAGTCCAAAATCTCTTTATTGTTAGACTTCTCTATTTCCTAATTATCCCCACTGATACTAGCACAAAACCATGGTTATGATGGACTGCTATTACATTCTGAGAGTATATACCTACTTTATGCACAAAAATGCAAGGCTTTCTTACCCCTCAAGAACCACGTTTTGTCCCCTTGAAGGCAAGACTGCCTTGACTGATGTTGTCTATCCTTCAAGAAGTAAACATTTTAAAAACACACTAATGTTTAATGCATTAGCTGAGAAATTTAAGATAATTAGGAGCCCAAGTCCAGCTGGTTCTCCGTGTCTGAGGTGGTTACATTTGATAACGTCACCACAAACACAAAAGCGTTGTTCTGAAATATCATGTGATTATCTACTCACAGCATTTTCATCACCAGATCGATGCAAACCTTGTCTTATGTGTTTCTCTTCAGAGTCATCATGTCTGGTGTGCTTTTGGTTCACTTGTATTCAACTCAAGGGTAACAACATTGAATTTGTCCAACATCAGAATGGGACATCTGCTTTTAGGAACCTTAGAAAGCCTTTTAGAACTACACCTGGAATCTTTTCAATGATAAAATTACCAAGAGACAGCAGTAATAAATCATGTTCCAATAAACAGACCATAAAGGAATACCAGTGAGAGCTGAAGATATACCTCAGTGTTAGATCACCTACAGAACATGTACAAAACCCTGAATTTGATCCCACTACTGAAAAAGATGAAGCCAAATAACACACACAAAAGAATTGTGGCAAACAGCATGAGATTGGAAGGCAGAATACCCCCTCCCTAAACTTCTCATGAGAACATACTCCAATGACTACTTCTGAGTATGTACTTCTGGTGAAGACAAAGATGTCATATCTGTGAGCAAAGCTGTGGACGATCAAATGTGACTTAGGTATTCATTTGGGTAGTTAAAAGCCAATAACTGTGAGAATACAGTAGCCATCAATGAGAGAGCTGACTACATATTGTCCTGTCTTACATATGGGTCTGCATCTTGTGGCCAGATTTTCTGATGACACAAATGGATGGCATGAAGGATCCAGTGTGAACAAGCCTAACACTGACCCTGTACTTGCCTAGTCTTGGGGAAACAACTAAACCCAGTCCATCTTATGAAGATCAACACCTGCATTCCACAGCTACTGCTGTCATTAACAAAATAACTGAGATATATTTTTAGGGATGATACAAGCAGCTCAGAAATACTCAATTTCTTAATGTATCTGGGTCCATATTATAGCTACTGCCATGGTGTTCTCATCAAAACCAGTTCCCAGTGAGTTCAAAAAAAGAAAGATGAGGATGGCAGGGTAGTTGAGTACAGAATAAAAAATTAGGTATTAGGTGATATTAAAGATGAAAGATCCATTCCACTGAAATTGATAAATGTTATCTATAGCTACACTAATAAGTGTTCAGATAATTATAATCCTCACCATAAATAAATCAATGGGTGGATTAATTATTATCAATTCAGACACCCTCTCAACTCAGGGATGTCAGAACAACCATGTGCCTGCCTTCACACCAATAATTTTCCCCTTAATTAACAACTCTAGGTGGGCA